CCACATGCATTCCAGGGAAGAGTCTGAGTCAACAGCCTCTTTTGAAGAAAAAAAAAATGACACCCTGCATGTATGCTTGACTGTTGGGTCATATTTGGACCAGGTGCAGGTTTGCCTTTCCTTCATTTGGCATAAGCATGACTACAGTGCAGCCTTCTGCATTAGTTCCACCACTTTACCACTAGGCTCCATCTGTCTGAGGCATAGGCTTCTCTAAGGACATTTTATTTTATAGGTTAACATATCAGATCTGTCTCTACTCCTGAAAAGTTGAAAAACACAATTCCAGAGGGGGTATCATACTGTAGCATGCTCAGTAAGGGAAAAACTGAAGTTCATGTTAATTTAAATACTAAAACTTTTCTGACAACAGAAATTAGCAGAAACATGCAACTTTGTAATGTGGAAATATTTAAATGAGGATTTGGGATGCATGAATGATTTGGAAGACCTGCCAGATACATGTCTCTGGCTAAAAAAGCAGTAAAAGATATTTAGAGAATATTAAAATAATGGAATTTAGGGAATAATATGTGGGAGAGGCATGCTGGTTTCATGCTTTTTCCCCCCAAGGAACCGGCTACTATGACTGTGTCTGGAAATCTGCAAGTGAAAAGAAACTCATAAAAAGAGGGTTTTTCTTCTCCTTTTTCAGGGCTGCAGCTACCTGTTTCCCCCGAAAAGCTACCTAAGGGTCAGAGAACCCTTTGGGTATGGCAGAATGGCAAGCAGGACTTGCTTCTAAATAAGGGAATGTGACTGAAAATCAGATGGAAATATCTGATTGCAATAACTTTGTTACTACAAGATGCTTCCTTTTTTTCTCCCTTCTCTTTCAGCACTCTTTTGGGGAGGGGCACAGGGACTAAAGCTGAGAGATCAGATACATCACTATGCCTATGAATCCACTTCTGGTCGTGATTCTCAGGATCCAATCCCACGTCACACTATTCACAAGTAGTAGTTAGAGACATTGTCCACTCTTAATTGTCCCATTTCTGCTGCAGACCCAAATGTGCACACAATATAAAGGTATCTTTTTTAAAAAACATGAACAATTATCTTACATTCTTCATTCAAACTGAGATTCTGCAGAGACTTATTCAAGTTCCTTGCTGTAGTGACTGCTCGAATGTTTCCATAGGAGCTGACAGAACGGAGCTTTGGAGTACATGGATTATCTCGGACTGGAGTCAGACTTCCACCCTCTATGGAGGCAATATAAAGATTTATCTCCACAAAGTAGCCAACCAATAGCATTTTCAAGTAAGTCCATAAAAAAGGAGCCGCATCTGCTCCTTAGGTCTTCTTTTACCCTCAACATTCTTTTTCACATGCTGCACCATGATGTTGCTTTATCTTTTAGATAAAGTACAAGTGGGTAATAAACCGAAAGGCTAGATTGCTTCTCCTTTATCCCTTTTAACAAATGCTGTAGACTGTATCAATGTGGCTTTTGCGAAGATTTCTCACAAGTCATATTTAAAACTGAGATACTATTTCAATTTCCTTATTTAAAGTAGAGAAACATTTACAGACTGCTACTGGGCAGGGTCTGTTAGCTCCAATGAGATTTATGTGACAGCCCCAAACAAAGCCAACTTCATCTGAGTTAGTTCAGCAATGTATGATTGGTGAGGTGTGAGGCTGGATACTATAATAAAAGAGAGAGAGAAAAAAAAGCTTAATGATCTTTTTCCTGCCTAAATATTTACTAAAAAAATCCATTATATTATGAGTGCTTGCAATTTTTATTTTTTGTCCTATTTTTCTCTCCCCTCCATAAGACAGACTCAAGTTAGTTGGCTATAAAAAGGCTTTCATAATGTACACCAAAGACAGCTTCTTGTGCATTTTATTAATATAGCAGTTTGGATTTCTCCTCAACGAATAAAATGTAACCATTTATTTTCTATAGAAAAAGGAGGCAAAATAATGGTGATCTATGTTTCCACTTTTTAAATGCCATCCCCTTTTTTAGACACTGTAGCTATTAAATTACACATTTTATTTACAGGGCTTATAAACTGCTTCAAACAAATTTACTCTGAGCAACATATAATTCCTCAACCCCCTAACCTGGATTCAAAAGATAAATATAAGTAACATAAAGAAAATCAGGACTAAAATCTATAAAGCACATATATAAACTGGGAAACTAAACCAAAGAACCTAATCTTGTGCAAATGAACAGTCACAACATTCTTGTCCTCAAGGCTTAATAGAACAACTAAGTCTTTAGAGACTTTCTGAAATTCAGGAGGGAAGAGACCACTTGAATATTTTTTGTGGGGGGGGGGGCAGGGCACTATTCCAGAGAAGAGTAGGTGGCGAATGGAAAGGCAGGAAACTTTCACCTGAATAAATTGACAGAAAAGACTCCAATGGAAGAGAGTGTCAAGGTTGAACTGTGGAGTTCTTGGTGTTCTCTGAGCTTGGTTTTTTTCCTGCAGATGTTTTGTTGGTTGTTTTCTTGCAGATGTTGTTTTGTTTTCGTTTGACATTGTTTTGTATGGGTAATGAAACGTCTGCAAGAAAACAACCAAGCTCAGAGAACACCAAGGACTCTACAGAAAAGGCTCTACTGTCCCCAAAAACTATTCAGGAGATGCAATATTAATAATGACAATTCATGAAATAAAAGGACAGCAGTAGTTTGTCTTGGACCTTTAAAATCTTTCCACACAAATCAAATGCATTAGGGGGAGAAGGGACAGAAAAAAATGTAAAATCCCAGTTGGAGCCTGATAAAGGGTCTTTCCCTACTTGCACCTAAACTTCTGGTTGGGGATCTTCTTCCTGCTTTACAGTAGTCAGCAAGGCCATCTGCCGTATAAAGAAGAACAACAGGACTATCTGCTCTGGTGGTGATGGTGTCCTTTGGGCCAGCTTGAGTAGTCTGTTTCCCATCGTAGTTGCCCATTGTGGGAATCATGAAACACTGAGAAGTAGCCTGCTTTCTTGTTTTCCTTTTTATTATGCATCTTTTTTTTCTTTGGTGCTGTAAGATTGTAAAGCTAAAACCCCAGGGATTGTCTGGGTTTTTTAAAAAAATATTATTATGTAAGCTGTTCTAGGAACTTCTTAAGCTGATCAGCACAGTATAAATGCTTTACTTAAAAAAAATAAACTACTGGAGTTAGATATGAACTAACACAATGCTAGGGGAGTTCAAACACTTCAAACAAGTGGAATTTTATTCTTTATCTTATTTTCCCATAGAATTAGGATTTTTGCCACTTTTAGACCTCAGATGAAATAATATTATTCAAGAAAATGTGAGTAGAAAACAGAATTTCTCAATTTCCTGTTGAATAGATAGTTCACAGAATCAACTTCTAAAACTTTGTGTCTGCAAAGAAGATGATTTAGTACCTGGAGCAGCAGGTGAGGGCAATGCATAGTTCTTCTCTTCTTCCATAAACTGTAAGGCAACTGTACAGAAATTGCTTTCATACTGAACCACAAGGTGACTCAGTGCCACAACTAACTCCTGTGGAGAAACAAAGATGAAAAACAGACCTCTGAACGCTATGGATGTTGAGTAATTAACCACAAGAAACCTCCATCACTGCAGAGCTGTTACCAGGTGCCTGGTAATAGCTTGAAGAGCATAACATAGGACACCTATCAATAACATTCAAGTTCCAGGAATATTTACTGTAATACTTTCATTCTCATAGTCAGCTAAAGCAATAATCAACAGAAGCATCAACTGAAACAAGAGCAGAAATCTAATGTCAGGATCAAGAAAAGTTATCATTCTTTACTCTTCTGCATTGGTTAAACTACACCTAGAACATTGCATTCAATTTTGGGCACTGCACTGACAAACTGGACAGTGTCTACAGGATAGTAATCAAGATGATAAAGGGCCTGGAAGGAAAAACTTATGAGGAACAGTTAAAGACATTATGTATGTTTAGCTTGGAGAAGACTGCAGGAAGACATGATGAATTGTTCAGAGTTGTTTCAAAAGACAATACCAGAAATGATAGATTAACTATAAGGAAGTACATTTTGGCAGGACATCAAGAAAGATCTCCTAACAGCAAGAGCTGTTCAAGAATGGAACCTCTTGGAAGGTGGTGGACTCTCCTTCACTGGAGTTGTTTAAGCAAAAGCTGGATGGCCATCTGCTTAGGTAGTAATGAATTCCAGCAGTGGGAAGGGATTAGTGTAGATGATTCTCAAAGCCCCTTCCAGCCCTTTACTTTCTGGCAATGACCTTAAGTTTAGAAAATGAAAACTGTCTATCCCATCCAGCTAAACAGAGAAAATCTGTCCTAAGCTTGTTTAGAATACAATAACACTATCTCTACAAACATAACTGGTATGGAGGAAGAGCAGAAAGCATACTCTTCTACAAAATATAGATTCTATTAAAGGTTGTGAATGTTATATACTGGATTTATCGGCATATAACATGCACAGGCGTATAACACGCACCTTAATTTTAAGAAGGGAGTTTGAGTAAAAAAACTCAAATTTAAAATAAATTACTTGGAAGCAAAATAAAGGGAGT